GGCGAAACGTTTGAGAATGTAGCAAGTCCACAGTCTGATGCTGGGAATCATGACAACTACTATGGCAGACAGTTTCTAACTAAGTACGCCCTGACAACAAGGCCAAGTTGCCACAACGAGGTCAACCCACTTCTATATTCTAAAGTGTTTATACCCAGCCGTTTTTGATACTTGATTATTTAATGAAATAATTCTTGTCCAGTCTCTTTTAAAAACAGCGGCAGGAGGCTCTGATGATATGGCCTCTGGCGTTGCAAACCTCATAGCTGCTTCTGGTGGCGGCCTCGAGGGACTTCGAAACCTAATGTCGGCCTTGGATAATGGAGGAAAATGTTTAGACCAAGTTAGGGCGGCAGAAGTATTTAGCAGCTTATTAGGGGCTATGGGTGGACGTGAAGAGGGGCTACGCAACCTGATTCAAGCCAGCGGCAACGGGGCAGAAGGAATAAGAGTGCTGTTAGAGGCGGTGGGTGGAGCTGGAAGTGATCAAAGCAAACTGGTGAACTTACTTGCGGTACTTGACAAAGGAGAAGGCGTGGGTAATAATATTTGGTTATTTGTAATTTTTTGGATATTTTTTGTACTTAAACGTACATTTTATAAACAAATTTAATGAAAATGCTAATAGTCTGTCAATTTAATTAAAACCACATAATATTAGATATACCAGAGACGGCTTCAAACAATTTATCAGTTTTTTCGGTCACTTACTTGCAACTATGAATTCGTTCTTCTGCCTTTTCGTTTCTTTCATCTTGCCGATTTTAATTGTTCCACCAATTAAACATATATGCAGGATGCGTATACATTAAATGCACGTAATACTTTATAAAACATTATACGGTTTCACAATGAATAGTTATTCTAACAAATTTTAAATAATGCTTTTACTCTATTAAATTTTATTTGCATATATAATCGAAATAATAATATAATTTAACGAAATATTCCTTAGTTCGTGGTCAGTAGATTTAAAATAAGAGCTCTTGTCAACTTGTTTCACGTGAGGTGATGGGAAGTTAATAATTGAATTTTTCCACAATTTAGAATCGATTTATAATATCGCAACCTATTCATTATTGATATAAGTAACGATGTCGAATGTACTAGAAGGATGCAAATTTCCTTCATT